GGTTAATCCGCCGATGACGTCACTCTCGCGTCGTCTGCTGCCGACTGACAGCCGGCCGTGACGTCACACCGTCACACTCACGACACGCGAACGCACGCAGCGCGACGCAGCGCGACGCAGCCGGCACCGCACGTCCACCGAGTACCGAGTACTCCGCGAACACTAACCTCGCTTCGCTAGCCGCTAGAGCCGCTAGGGTTCGCTGACAACGAACAACGAACGAACGCGAGCGACGGGGCGACGGACGCAGCGGCCCCGTGGGGCAAGGTGTTGTGAGCGGCACGGCCCGCCGGTAGGCTCGGCGCGGCTCGACACGGCGCGGCGCGCCCGTACGCTGCCTGCCAGCCCCGACTGGCCGCCGCGCGCCGCGCCGACCCTAACCTCTCCGCACAGTACGGCGGCCAAACCGCGCGTCCGCCGCGGGCAGAGCGAGAGAGAGAGAGACAGAGAGAGGCCTTCCCTATCTCGCGGCGCGTTATCGAAGCCGTGGCCGAACTGGCGTTCAGGACGGGGCTCGGGACGAGACCGACGCGTCGCGCACTTTTCACCCGCTACGCCCAGGGCCTCGGCGCTCGGCGGCCAGGCGGCGGCGCTGCCTCTCTCTTGCCTCGCCCCCCTTCCCCTCCCCTCCCACCGCAGCTCCTCGAGGCCCCGCGGCGCGGGGGCGCGACGCAGCCCAGTGCACTCTTTGTCCGGGCCCGCGCCGCCTCGGCGCCTTCTCGCTCGCTCTCCGTGACTCACCACCAAGTCCTGGTTCTGACTCGAGTCTTGACTCCTGGCCCCAGACAGCCGGCTGATCCCAAACTGTACTTCGCCGCTCTGCCTCCCCGGCGGAATGCGTGCGACAGAGACGGAGCGGATTCTCCAACGCTGCTGCTGCTGCAGTCTGAGGCCAGGCCAGCCTTCCGACCACCACACCAGATAATTCTCGACAGCATGCAGCTTTATCGGCGACCGCGGCCGAAATTTGAAACCAGTTGAGCTGTTAATGCAGCAATGCAGCGCCTTCCCCGGCCCTGCCAGCGTCAGCGCAGCTCGCCCCAAGCTAGTCGCGGTCCGCGGTACCCGTTGTACGGCGTACGGCGGCATCGCAAACGCGGCAAAAGCAGCTGGCGCGAGCTTCCCCATTCCCGAAAGTCGGCAGCACAGCACGCTGTGCACGTGGATGTGGGCCGCTGGCTGCGCTGGGTGCGCTGCCGCGGCCAGGACGGGCCGTGGGAACGGGGCGGGTCAGCACGCCCGGCATATTGGCATAGTTGGGGAAGGCGTAGCAAGGTATGGGCCCCCCCCCCCCCCCCCCTCGGGACCCCTTTGGGGACCGCGCTGGCTGGGCCTCTCTGGCCTCCCCTTTGGGCGTGCTCGGCGGTTTTACCTTCGCCTCTCTCTCTCCAGGATCGGGAGTCCCCTGCCGGATGGAATGGTTTTACCTCTCCCGCCAGGTCTCTCGCATGCGCCTGTGTGTGGCGCGAGTTTGTGTGTGTAGGTGTAGGCGTGGATGAGGTCTGGGTGCGGCGAGTTCTGCGAACAGCAATATTTACCTCCGGCAACCCTTCCACGCCCTGGCCGCCCTGGCCGCCCCATCACCTCGTCCTGCTCCACTATCGATTGACTGCTCATGTGCCCGCTGACCCCCTGCCGCGCCCCCCCCCCCCCCCTCCCCCACATCCGCTGTTTATAGCCATTTGCCCGACGGCAGCCCTGGGCATGGGCAGCCCGACCGTCCTGCTACTTGCTTTTCTCTCCCATTGCCCCCTCCCCTCCCCTTCCCGGCCCCTAATTCTCCACTGCTGATCGGAAGGGCTGTTTTCCCCGTATCTCAGCGACTCCCCTCCCTGGCTTGGCCTGGCCTGGCGAAGAAAGTTCCGGGCAAACTTGAAGAAGGCCGACGTCTACTCCACTCCGCTGGCCGTCATAATACACGTCGAAAAAGGAGCCCCGAGAAACGGGCCGCTAATGTAGCGCGGGATGGACTGGTTGCTGAAGGCGCCGGCGTTACAGAGGGCTTGAATGGAGTCGTGGGGGAGCCATGTCGCCGCGATGCATCGTTCATGACCCTGGCCAATGCCTGGCCAAGGCCTGGCCAAGGCCGTGCCTGTCGCCTGTCAGGCGGGGCAGAGATCAGCCGGCCGGGCCGGAGGGGTAAGCCTGGCCGCGTGCCGCCCCGCCCTCCACCTCGCGGCCGTCAGGGGTACTTTCGTTGCTGTCTCTCTCGCACCCGTACGGCACACTCAAGAGTGCGAGAGAGACAGAGCGCTGCTCGGAATCAGCCATTTGGCAACCGCTTTCGCGTCACTATCCTGATTAAATGCAGCCACCCTCCCCCTCCCCTTCCCTCCCCGGCGGGACGGACTTCGAGATTCGCCATTTCAGTCTCTCAGGTCGCTCCCACTCCGATCGCCCCGGTCGCGCGCATCGCCATCAGCGCGGCCACTTCTTTATCCACGGGCGGGGCGGGGCGGGGCGGGGCGGGCAGACCGCCTCCCCCGAGGAGCGCCGCTCGGACTGGAATATTATCCCGGAGATAAGGATGAAAGATGAAAAAGGCGGTCGCTGGCCGCGGCCGGTGCGCCGAGGCGAGGCCCGAGGCCCGGCCGAGGCAGCCAAGGCCAAGGCCTGCCAAGGCCGGCGCGGTTATTAAATACGTAAAAACAAATCCGCGCTAAACCGTAAAAACAAGAATTAGGGCTGGTGGCGTGGCCGTCGGCCATCCGAATCCATCACAAGCTTTGTTTGTTCCTGGCCGCCGCCACCTCGGTCACCACGGTCACCACCACGGTCACCACCACGGTCGTCGCCCTGGTCGCACTGCCCGCGGGGCTTCAATTGTAAGCGCGGCAATGCGGCAATATGGCCTGCGTGGGGCGGGGCGGGGCGGGTCGGGTGGGGTAAGCCTGGGCAGCCCGTGATGAAGTAACTCCAAATCTCCGAGCGCGGTGGGCTTCAGCGGGCCCCACCGCGCACGCTGCGCGCGGATCTCGGCTTCGGCTGGGCTGGGCGGGGCGGGCGGCGGGGCGGGGGCGGGGCGGGGCGGGGCGGGGCGAGCCCAGCGCCGCCTCATCAACAGAACGTAATAACACGAGGCCGCGCCACCGCCGCGCCCTTGGAACAGAGTTGTGCACCGGCTTCGCCCCGCCCACGGCCTGCCAAAGCTTTGCCGCCCCGCTTGGCCATGCGCAGCACGCACCGCGCCTCGCGCTCCCCGCCGGGCCCGCAGTCCGTCTGTTTGCCTGTTTGCGCATCCCCTACACCTGAGTGAGAGTTGGTCCAGTTCTACTACTTGTCGGGGCCGGTTAGCTTAGTGTGGCTTAGCGGAGTGTCCTGGAGAATGCGGTCCGAGTGTCCGCGGCGGGCCGCTTCGCCAGTCCACTGCTTCTCTATTCAATATTCCTTCTCTCTGAAATATTTCCATCAAAAGCTCTAGAAAATACTGATGGTGGGGCCACTGAGAGGTAGGTACGTAGTTGAACTGAAAAACTCCTACAGTGTGTGGCGGTTGGCGGCGCAGCCAGTGTAGTGTACCAGGGCATCGCGGCGGCCGGGGCAGAGAGGCGGGGGCGGCGGTCGCCAAAGCCAACACGCTGCGTCGCGGCCCCACCCCGCCCCGCCCACCCAATATGACTGGCCGATCCACCCGATCCATCCCGGCCTGTCTGTTTGCCCACTACTTCCAGGCGACTAACGGGGGCCGCAAACATCGCCGCGCAAGCAGCGCAAGCAGCGCAAGGACTCGGCGCGGGTCACTGGCCGCGCTCCGTCTCTCTCGCAACCTAACCCCCCCAAGAGTGCGACAGAGAAACGGAGCGACGAATGCACTGCTCGGAATCGTCAGCTTGCTACAGCCGAGGCCGCGCGCCGGTGCTGGCAATATGGAGAATGTGTGTTTAAAGGCCGCAGTGTGTGGGCGTGCGCAGGGGTGTGAGTGAGAGTGGGTGCGCGTTGTCTGCGACAGAGAGTGGGAGTGTGTGTGCGGCAGGAGGAAATTGGACGGAGCGCTGCTCCTCAAACAGCTCCGCGGTCTACCTGTGCGCGCAGCGGCGGCAGCGGCAGCGCAGCGGCAGCGCCACCGTCGTGCCAGACAGGCAGCTTCTGGAACGCTCTGTACAGTGGGTAAGTATAACACCGAGCGCGGCGCTCGCACACACCCACACAGAACACCAACGTGACAGTGTCGGCGAATTCCAAGGGCCTCCACTCAAAGCCCGTCACAGTGCACGTGCACGGCCCGTGGCGGTGGCCGCCCTGCCCTCGGCCCCGCCCTGCCCCCGGCCGCCTGCCCCCGGCCGCCCTGCCCCCGGCCGCCCTGCCCTCCTCCTTGTTTATTCGCCAAACTGGCGCGTGTCGTTCCACTCGCCCCGCTCGCCACTCGTGCCGTTTGTCCCCTTTTCATGCCTATGTTTACCCAGCAGAGGTCGGCGCAGGCCGCGCTGGCCGCGCAGGCCGGAGGGAGCGAGGAGGACGAGGAGAGGGACGAGGACGGGCCGTGGAAATGAAGGGAGCAAAGAGAGAGGGAAGAGTGATGGGATTATCACTTGGAATCGGAGCCAGCCAGCGGGGGGTGCCACGGTGGGGCAGGCTCGGGAGGGGGTGCTCGCCCCCTTCCTCCCTCCCTCCCTCCCTCCCGCCCTCCACGGAGCCACTCTGCAACGCGCGCAGCGCCCCGCCTTTTTCCACGGCAAAAGGAAAACAAATGAACGCTCTAATGCCTTTTGCCTCGTTTATTAAAGGTCCTCCACCTCCTTTGCCAACCTTTGGGCGCCTTTCGGCCCCGTTAAAGACATCAGCACGCCTGACGGGGCAGGGCCGGGCGGGGCCGGGCGGGGCGGCCAGGCCTGGGCGAGGCGGTGGAGGCCGAGGTTCAAGGGGCCGGGCCGGCAGCGCCGACAGGCGGGTGCAAAATCATCGCCGAGGCCGTGCGCTCGGACAACGCCAACCCGGAGAACGCGCGCCTCGGCATGCTATTGCTACAGAAGAATAGCACAAAAAGTGACGACACCGTCGTACGTCAGGTGTGGGATTCGAACCCACGCACTCAGAGAGTATCGGAACTTAAGTCCGACGCCTTAACCAACTCAGCCAACCTGACTCTGACGTCAGAGCCTCGACAGCATCACTGCTTCAAGTAAACATCGGCGAGGCCACCGCGTCGTCGGGACCAGCCGAACCGCCCCGATCCGCTTCGTCGGAAAAGGCGAGGCCGCGGTGGAGGCCGCTCGGCTACTCTCTGGGTGTGCTCGACGACGTCCCGATCGGCGGCGCCAATCAAACGGCCGACGGCGAGGGCGCGGCGGCGCGGCGCGCGAGGGCCAGTGGCGTGCGCGCGCAAGGGGGGGGGGGGGAGGAAATCAGGGGGGGGGAGGAAATCAGGGGGGTCATGACCCCCCCCCCCCTTTGGCCACTAGACAGCCGCCTGGAAGGTAGGCAAATTGCGTCACTTTCCCCCTGTAAGTAGGCAAAAAGCGTGGCCTGACCCCTCCCCCCTTTCTAAATTTCTGCGCTCGCCACTGGCGAGGGCAAGACTCCTGCGTCCTTCAAATTGGTCCAGACGAGGCCCGCGGTCCGCCGAGGTCACCGAGACCGCCTTCCACGTGTGCGTGATCCGTTTTCTGCTCCTTTTTGCGCCACCAGCATCGCGGCCCCCCCGGGCCAAGAGCCTCACGTCCTGGACGGCACGCCGCCCCCAGTTGTTATTTACCACAGCGTGTCAGTATACCGTCGCTGTTTTCTAATTTCATCTTGTTTTCTTTCGGCGCATCGCCGCTCCGACAAACGAAAGAAGATGTGTAACGAGAGCTCCGCGGGCAGCCGAGCCGAGCGGCACGGCAGCCCTTCCCAACACTGGCTGGTTATTTCCAGCCTTTCCAGCGCGCTGCCGCCGCTGCCGCCTCAGTGCGGCCCGCGCAATTACCCGCCAAGGCCGCCAAGGCCGCCAAGGTCACGGGGAGCCCCAAAAACAAGCCGGATTGGCAAGGCGGGGCGGGGCGGGGCGGACGCTTCATCGTGGCGCTGGCAACCACTGTGTGTACTTCGGTACAGTGGACTTAATCATGCCGATTGCACGACAGCCCCGCCTGCAGTCTCGGCCCCGCCCCGCCCCCGCGCCCCGCCCCCCCCGCGCCCCGCCCCGCCCGCCCCGCCGCGCCCTCGCTCGCGGCTCGGCGCTCGGCCCGCCGCCGCGGCCTCCGCGCCCGTCGGAATGGAATGTGACGAGCCGGGAGAATTCGAAATAAGATTCGGAGGCTCTCCCTCCCTCCACTAGGCCGCGGCCTGCCGCCAGGCCGGCAGGCTAAGGCTTGGATGCCTGGGACGAGATGTTCGAGTGCTCGGCCGAGGAGGGCACCCCTTTCCTCCCCACCGCACCTTCCCCGCGCAGCCCGCAGCCCCCGCAGCCCCCGTGACCCAAATCAGGCCGCGATAAACGTACGGCGTAAGTCAGCGCCGAGTTTCCGCGCGGACTCATCCCAGTCGGAGACAGGGAGGGGGAAGGGGAGGGGGAGGGAAGGGGGGCACTTATGGTTTCCGTCTCACGTGCGCTCCCACCGCCACGTCCCATCCAGAACAACGACAAAGTTGGAGCCAGTCAGTGCGATGACAATTTGCGAGTACACGCGGGGGAGGGGGGGGATATGCACACGGCAGCCAATGCCTGTCGGGTTGTCGGCGTGCCGGGGGGGCGGGCGGCCGGGCGGCCGGGCCCTCGTCAGAACTTTGGCCGCCACTTGGTATTTCCACGAGTGACGCGGTGCGGCGGTGCGCAGTGTGGGGGTGGGGCGGGGGGTGGGGGAGATACTGCAGCCTCGTTTTTGTCTGAAGGGAAAAGACGCGGCCGCCCTTCGCTCCCTCCCTCCCACCCTCCCCCGACCGGCTGAGCAAACTATGCCCGGGAAGTAGGTCCCTTGCAGTGGAGGCGCCGCTTTTTGCGCGGGAAACGCAGAGGGAAAGCCATTCCCGGCGTGTCCGCGTCTCCTCGTTCGAGGTCTCGTTCGAGGTCTCGAACGAGTGCTCCACCCTCCACCACCGCAATTAGCGCGCGTACCCGTCGCCATGGCAACGCGGCAACGCGACCGTGGCGCGTCTTGGGTAGTCTTGGGCTCCTGCTCCTCGTCGGAGTACCTCCGCGTGGTCGCCACACCCACACACGCGTGCGAGTGCCTCCTGCGGTCCTCGCCGCCCCCTCCTGTTTTTTCCAGTGTCGCTGTCGAGCTGGCGGCGTGGCAGCGCGGCGGCGGGTCGCGCGGGGGCCATCGTTAGCGCACGCCCTGCGAATCACAATTATTTCAACAGCTGCTGTGCGGTGCTCGTTCCTCGCGCCGCCGCCGCCTCCCCGATGCAGGCCCTGCTCGCCCTGCTCGCCCCGCTGTGCAAGACCGCCCCGCCGCCGGCCGCGTCCTCGCCCTGGCCGCCCTGGCCGCGCCGGAAACTTGACTTGGATGAGTCCCGAGTGGGCCTTGATGGCGCTTTGGTTGTTTACCCGCCAAAGGGGTTCCGCTCCGTTAGCGATACCGTCCCTGGCCGCCGTGGCCGCCGTGGCCGCCGTGGCTACCCTGGACGAGAAGAAGCGGGAAAAACGTGCGCGCCGAACTTGTTTTCGAAGAGGTCGCTCCTTCCTGACTATTGTCCCCCCCCCTCCTCCCCTGCTCCCCAAATGAGATCAGCCCGAAGCCCGATAATCAACTGCCATGCCGAGTGGATACTGACTCTGATTGCGCTGACGGGGCCGAGCCCGGACTTTTTGCAGCCCTGGAGGGGGGAGCCGCCGAGGCCGCCGAGCCGCCGAGCACCGGGACGTCGTCGACGGCGCTCGATCAACGCGAAGCAACGCGGAGCGCAATGATTATGACGAGTTACTTCGGCTGGTGTGCAGTGCAGTGCCTCGCGGACCCCACAGACGCAGGGGGGGCCAAAAGAGGGCGGAAAGTCTCTTCAATTTCCGGTGTGCTGCGCTCGCTGCGCTGCGATCGCGTTAAATTTTTTGTATCGCCGATGGCGGCGAGTGTGTGCGTGCGTGCGAGTGCCGCGGCGCCGTGGGTCAGAGTTATTACTATCGACGAGGAAGTGCTGCTCTGCGCCGTCACGCCACGCGAAACAAACGCCACGCCGAGCGAAACAAAAACACACACTCACCCATCTTTTTCCTCCGGGCTGCGTATAGCAGGGCGTGAACCACTTTTTCTTTCCTTCACCCTTTTTTCTATTTTTTTTTCACTCCCTACTCTTTTTTTCCCCCGACGGCGCGGGGGCGCCCGCACCGGCTTCGCGTTTGATCGACTTGGACTGAGAATAATAAACAAGCGAGTGGCGATGGCGGTGAAGGAGGGGGCGGGGGGTTCGGTGTGGAGGCGGCAGGGGAATCAAAATGGGTTCGGGGCGGATACAGAGGGGGAGGGACAGTCCGCGATTGAATGGCAGCACAGCGAGGCCTGGCTGGCTGGCTTGCCTGGCCTGGCCGGACTGCTCAACATGGAATCAAAATTAACAAAGCGCGCGAGCGATGGAAGCGAACTGCCTCCCCTCCCCCTCCATTTCCCCCTCGCCTCCAGCGCGGCCTCTGCGGCCGGCAATTTGTGATTTAGATAATTCCGCTGGCTTTGCAGAGCGAGAGAGACAGGCGGTGAGAGGAGGGAGAGCGAAAAGCCGCGGGGGAGAAGCGCCGACCGCTGCGAAAACTATCCGATGGCGATCGCGCCCCAGTTTTCTCGCGACTCCAGGAAAGTGGACTCCCTGCATCCCGCGGACAAGCGCCGTCATTTTCTCTCTTTTTATGCTCATCCACATTTTTTGCACTGGTCACGTGGGTGTGGGCGTGCGTGTCGTAGTGTCCACAGGAATTTCTCCCGAACGCTTGTCGGGGAATTTGGAATTCGCACAAAGGGCGTGCACCAATTATTGTGAACTCTCTTTTTTTCCCGCCGAAAAATCTCCCGCATAGCTCGACACACGACAAGCATAGCGGGGGAATGTTTTACCTCGCACAGGGGCAGGATGACGGGGCCCGCGTCCAACATCGAGATTCCGCAGCCATTTTTCGACCTTTTGCCCCGAGTGTGCGGTGCAGTACGTGCCACGAAAAAAAAACATTTCTTTTTTTGTCGCAGACACTAACAATTTTTCAAGCGGCAGCCACTCACACTATCAATGATTGGGTTTCGGACGGAACGTCACTCCTCGGCCGACGAGCGACCTGGCGGTTGGAAAACCGGGGCACTGGCACTGTACTATGAAGTTCGGACCGGAATAAACAACACGTCGATAAAGTGGCACTTGTCTAATCCAGCGAGTCCGCGCGGGCGCGGTGACGGTCGAGGACTGGACCGTGGAGTCACCGCCGTGCCGTCGCACGACCCAATAAACAAGGTTCGGTTCGAAGGGAGGGCCGCGCTGCGCTGTAACGTTGTAACGCTACGCTGTAACGCTGTAGCGAGGAGAGCAGCGTCGGCCGGCGTTGCTGGCGGCAGCGCTGGGCGCCCAGCCCCGTCAAAGGATATAACCAGGACACTGCCCTGGACGTGCCGGACGGGGCCGGACCGACCGCCACTCTGGCCGCCGCCGTCCCCAGCCAATGGCACTAACAACAGAGACAGACGCACCCGCCCCAACAGTTTAACAATCATCCGGAGTGAGGGCGCGGCGCGGGGCGGGGCGGGGGAGGCGCCTTCGCCGAAATGACGCCGGCCACGACAGCGGGGGAGGGGCGGACGCAGGCGGGGGCAGCGCGCCAGTCAGAGGCAGGGACTCAGGACTCGCCCCCAATTATTCTGACTGTGGCTGGGGATGAGGGTGGCCGGCCTGGGCCGGCCTGGGCTAGCTCGGGCCAGCAAGGACAGCAGGGCAGCAGGCTCATCCCCAACAGTGCTCTCGCCGCTCTCTCACTCTCTCTCGTGCTCGGCCTATTTAGGTGGGGACGAGCGAGAGAGACAAGCGACAGCCCCCCGTTCAGAAACGGACCGCCATGGGGACCGAGCGCGCATTAACGTCCGACTCGTGTCCTTGTCGAGGACGTCGGCGACGAGGACGGCGACGAGGGCGGCGGCGGCCCGCGGACCTCTCGGACCTCATGCCTACAGGCCGGCCAGGGCCAGGCTAGCC